CTAACAATACTATATTAAAACAAAATTCCTATTAATATAGAAATAAGAGACTTTGTTAAAGAAATATATAAAAGAAGTATTCTAACAAAATAAACAAACCAAGACTTGTGAATCTATAGTGTAGTAGTTAATACTTTATAGGTCAAATCATAAAATATTAATTTAATTCCTTGTGAAAGTGGTTGAATAAAATTAATATAGTATCTAATGCCATAACCTGTAAAAGTGATATTTCTCATAAGAAGCTGTTTCACACACTAATCCAGTAAGTGTTGAGATTGTGATTTTTAAAAAAGGTATCATGGCATGATGATCATCCAGTTAGTGCTACAATAATCACCAGAAATTGTAAGATATATAAGGTATCTATTTTTAATAAGCAGGTTTGGTAATTGCTTTTCTAACATCTGACATCTTTTCCTATAGACTCCTATCCAGGTCTTATTCCAATCCAATAATAAACCAGTCTGGTAGTGTTTATCCAAAGAAGATATTTGATATAAGATCTATTTCATGCAAGCAATAATTCTAATTATAAATATATTTTGAATATTCTTAAGCAACATTTAAGTTGATAAAAAATTAAATAATTAATCCAGCTGCAGATAATAGTAAAGAAAAATAATCTCTAATGGAAGCAAATAAAATATTTGGTTCTGTAGTTGCTTTATTTGCTATAAATCAGGATATTATCATAATTTCTTCCTTTCATTTCTTCTTAATTCTTCTAATTTAAAAATAAAGCAGATAATAATTATGCTTATTTAATAGTACTAGTGGAGTTTTGATACACTAGTATTCTTTTAAAGACATAAAAGGTTGCAGGATTTATGAAAATAATATCAAGCCATTTAACTTTTATTTTCTAAAAATATACATAAGTCACAATTAAAGAAAAATAATAATTAATAAAATTTCATAAAGCTTTAAAGAACAATTAATGAATTAATTTTATAAGTATAATAAACTAAATGACAAGATTTAATTAATATTACAAATCAAAATAGGCAAATCAAAATCAAATACAAAAAAGATGAGCTAAAGAAATAAATAATTAAGAAAACTTTAATTGAAAAAGCTTTTGAAAAGCAAACAAAATAGGAGAATTCTTAATAACATTATTTAAACAAGTTAAAGAAAAGCCTTTTGAATAAAATAATATATAACAAATTATCAATTCTAAACAATATGATCAAAAGATTCTTTACAAAATACAAAAACCTAATTAATTGTTTATACTATTAATAAGAAGAAAAATTCTTGAAACATCACCTCTTTTGTAACAGTATTATAAAGAAATATAAAACAAAAATTAAAATCAACTACTTAATAAATAACTAGAAAATATTTAAACAAAAAGAATACAAGATAAGTGAATTTTTATATAAGAGCTTTTACAAAAATAGTATATATGTAAATTTTTTACAAATATAGAAATTATAAACTTATATTTAGGACTTTTCTCAAAAAAGGACATTATAAAATAGATATAAACAATAGCAAAATCAAGATCAAAACTAGTAAAGCAAAGCAATTATTAAAGAAACTCTCAAGAAACATCTGCAAGCAAGTTAAGAAAAAGCTATGAAATAACAGATATGTCAAATTACAAAATTTAGGAAAAAAATCCAAAATATATAGATATAGAAAAAAAGATACCTGTAAAATAAGAAAAAAGAAAAGAAAATCAAATAAGAAAAAATAAGCTCAAGAAAATTATAAGAAGATAATATAGAAGATTTTATTTTGTAAATTAAAGACAAAATTTCAATTTGGAAATGGATTAAAGAAAGAAAAAAATGATTAGAAATATAAAAAGTAGTTTAAATTTTGATAAGATGAATTATAATGATGAATTGCAAGTAATAATCTTTAAAATTAAACTTCATAAGCAAATAAATTATAAAGAGAGCCACTTTTTTTATTTTCAAAGTTACACTTAGAGACATTAATCAAAGACAGATGTTCAAGGCAATAGAATAGTTTATATAATATAATATATTACATAGTATACAGTATATCACTTTTTTTCTATAAAAATTTAATAAATATAAGTATTTGTTTGACTATGAAAAATAAAAAATTATATCAAAAGTATATTTATAAAATTTAAATATATAGATCGAATATTTTCTATTATTAAAAAAAATAAGTCATAAAAAAAACTTTTTTTCACTCCTCTCCAAACACTTAAAATTTTCTTTTTAGGAAACTTTTAAGTTGTTTACTTCTTTTTTCACTTTCTTTATTTTTCTTGTTTCTTGCTTTTCCTTGTTTTTCCCCCTTCCCTTTATTCTTTCTTTCTATTCTATAAATTCTTTTTTTCAAACTATTTCTTTTCCTTTCCATTTTTCCCTTTTTCTATCAAAGTCAGGTTTTTTTTTCTTCTTGAAGATTTTTTCTTTCTAGGTCTCTCTTTCTTTTCTAAAATATTGTTCTATTTTATCACTCCTCTGGCCAGTAGACTTCCCTTTTTTTTTACTATTAAGAAGTGGCAACTTCTCTCAAAATATGGCTTTGAAAAATTTTCCTCTTCCATAGTACTCAAAAAAGGCTAGACAGTTTACTTCCTCCAAAAGATCAACATGGCCATCATTATCAAATCTGATATTGTTTACTTGTTGATAGCAAAGACTAGATATATCTAAGAAACTGTTGTATAACTATTATTATCTGAATTTCCAAGGAGTTGCACCCCACAGTATTCAGAGTGATATGGCAGTCAATATTAATGCAACTAATAATAAGTTGCAGATGTCATGCTAGTAATTGAAGAATTTAATAAAGTGATAAGTGATGATCAGGAATTCTAGTTATCCTTGTAAACAAAAGTGATGATAACAATGCAAGTTCCTTACTTACTTTTTGATAATATAGATCTATTGTACAAGGTTAGGTAATAACATCTATAAGAAACTTCAATTTCATTACATCCAACAACTTTTTTCAACAACTATTATTACATATCCAAACATTTCTCCTTCATTTTCTTATGCCTTATACTTGTACTGAATTCTACTCAATTACTTGAATAATATAGTCATATATGTGAAGTTTCTTGTAAAGAGCAGCTGTCTCCTTTTCTATTTGTTGCAGATGTAGACAACTGTCACAGGCTTGGGTAACCTATAATTTGCCACAATTCTAGAAAGGTAGAAAAGGTCAAATACTAGGTGATCAGATAAAAGACTAATCTCTATTGAATGTCCTAGTCAGAATAGCAATCACTTAACTAATTAAGCAAGTTATTCAGATGAAGCATAAAATGGAACATATTTAACTTATCATATATTAAGTTACGTTTGAAAAGCAAGCATGCCAATCCTAATTATGACTTGGAGGCCAACCTGTATATAGTGGCTGCAATGTTTTCATGTGATTAGATTTCAAATTTTTCTAGATAGCTAAATATTATTCAAGACATAATATAGATTTTGAACTTCTTTTTTCTTATATTCTTGAGTAATGCCAAGAAGCTTAAGCAGAAGGGCCTTTATTGAGCCTAGTATTTAACTTTTCCTGATAAAGAGAGATATATATTACACTATTGAGTTATAAATCTTGTAGTTCACAAGTTTAAAATTATAAATAAAAATAACATGTGAGAACCGCCTATTCCTTTAAAAAAAAAAAAATAAATCATAATTGATTTGTGATATTTTGAATATCAAATAATTTCGAAATCTGACTTTAATTGAATATTTTTATAATTTATTAACTAATACTTTTATTCTTTTGTTTAAATCCATTCATACAATATATAATTTTGTTTTTGTTTTTTTTATATCACATTATATTGTGTATATTGATTTGATTGTATATTTCTTGAAAAAGAATGTTTTCAAAAGATCTCTGCATTTTTTTCAAAGCTTTTCTTATTTGCTAGTTTATTTATGACAAGTAAAACAATAAAAATTGCATAGTATTTTTTTAATTTAAAAGCATGGTAAATAACAATACAACATATTATATTTCAATTGCTGTTTTTATTCAAGTGCTAAAAAAAGAAACCATATGATATACTTGTCAAAATTGTCAATACACAGTTTTTAAATGATTCAAGGATCTGTATGCAAAATTTGACGCAAAAGATTTAATGATGCGTAAAAAAAACGAAACAGTGATGGATCGTGAGTTTTAACAGCTGGATCAATCATCAAGCTTCTGACATAATTTTTAAATCAGCGGACCCTTGATTCAAACTTCGTTTATATATGGTTAAATCAATTTCCACGCTAACGTTTTTACTTACTGCTTCCATGATAATGATTTTCGAAGATTTTAAAACATGGCTCATTAATTGGATATTCATAGAGGCTTGTGTGTGTAAGTTTACCCGGTGTCTCATTCATATAAAGATATCAAATGCATGATTTCCGGAAGTGATCATCATGCTTCTTTAGGATGTTGCGTATACAATAAATGACGATATCCTGAATATTTAAATAATATCACAAATTGTCCGCCTTGGCTAATAACAAAGAAAAAATCTCGTAATCGTAAGGTCATACATCATTCGAGATGGGTGAACCTCTAAACGGGTAAGATGATCATATGACAACGTGAATCGCATCACTTAAATCCAGATCTGTGCATCAGCCACTGTCCAATAAGACCGATTGGTGATCTAATGTTTGACCGAGTCATTAAATCTCATCTTAACACCGAGCCAATGATGTTAATGATTCATCGATCGGTTTCCTCAGATCCTTCCATATCCGTCTGCTCAGCCTTGAAACCCCGTGTACACACACACAGTCGTGCATCATGTTGTAGAACTAGACTGATAACCGTTTGCGACCCAGCTCACGAATGACAATGGCGAGGACATAATGAGTGGCCAAAATATAATAAAAAAATTTTGTATCTAATCCTACTAGAATGACCATAAATGGTTGCGCATAATTCCCACACCTACATATGGTATGCGTTTTAAATCACACGCCGCGCGTCAATTCGGTTTGTTAATGATTGGTCTAGCGTTGGAAAGATAACCATTTATGGCGGGAATGGTTGAACGACCCACAAGGGGAACGACGTGTTTCCGATTGTCATTCCGAATGATCAAACGTCGAAATAAAGAATTTGTCAGACGGCGCGAATATGCGAATCGAATCATCACCGCACCGGGATTAATCGAATCATCGACTCTGATCGGTGAACAAGGAGAACCAGAATAGAAGATCAGGGTCCCAATCTCGAGATGAAGACCAAGAATAGATGAGAATAACCCCAATTACTACTACTTCAAACAGATAATCGTTCCCGGTGGGTAGACTTTTGCGGAATTGGACATTCAACATTTGGCGAACGCAACGTGTGCTTGGTGTGTTGTGAAAGAAAAATTTATTAAATTGTGGATAGGAAAGCACACGTATACGCTCACGCAGAGCTACAGATCGAGAAATTAGCAAAAAAAAGGTAAAGGTAATAATGGTAACAATTAAACGTAATCCTATTGTAAACAATATAGCAAGCTCTCCGCTGATGAAACCAATCCGATGGCCAACACTGAAAAGTGCAAAGGGGAAAGAAGATGTGGACGTAAGGCAAATATACATGAAGTGATTAGCTATAATGTTTCTGTACATGAAAGGGATTGACCGCCAGTCAGTTCGTCTAATTATTATTAAACACAAAAAGGGGAATTATGCTGCATATGTGCACGAGGAAGAGAATTTTTTTTTTAAAAAAAAAAAAAAAAGAGGAAAAAAAAAAATTAAACAAAATAAAAAAAAAAAAAAAAAAACGTATATATATATTTCACATTAGGCCGGGGATAGGAATCAGAGACAGAGAGAGCATCATCTCGTTGGGAAGATATAGTCTAAGAGGCTTTTTTTGTCCACGCATAGGTTACAATCTATGGTGTAATGATCTTACTTTCTTCTAATTGACATCGGTAAGAAGTTGCTTTTCTAGAATGTATTTCCCTTCTTTATAACGTTGACTTTGCTCATACGCCTTCTCCTGGGAAAACCAAAAAAACAAACAAAACAATTCGAGATTAGCCGAGTGCCGGAGATAGATTGTGTGAATCTACTCACATATTTCCATCCTAGCACGGATCGACAGCGAGAGCAGAAAATGTCCTTTACGATGTGGAGACCGGTGGTCATATGACGTTCCTCGGAAGGTCCCTCCTCGACATTAACCCTGGTCGAGAGTAATCAAACTCGAACAGTGAATGAAGAACTTCAAAAAAAAAGGGTCGAATAGTTTCAGAATACCTACACTGTGTCAAAAAGATATGCACGTCCATGTTGCCCTTGGAAAGCCTGCGTGATAGCAAGTTACGAAAAACCTTTAAATATTGTGCCAAAGTTATCGATAAAAAGGATTGGGAGTAAAAGCACATAGACCTTTGAGATAATACTTTCAGTTGTGGAAAGGTGTGTTCGACATTTGTTACATCCGAAAATGCGGTTGCCATTCAAATAAACGCGATAGGTGAGTCCCATGATTACAAGTTAATAAGGTTCGTCGGAGGGTTGACTTTCTTTTTGCTTATTGAAGGACTTTTGAAAGTTGTGGGATTTTTTGGATTTGAGTATTTTGGGGGAAACTAAACAAGAACAACTTGACGTTCTTTGAACAGAATATACTCGAACCTATTATTGTATCTAGTTGCATTGGATGGGTGAAAGAATAAGAGGAAAAGGAGCTGCAAGCAGTTCTCACTATTCATATAATCCAATTCATCATGCTTTCGTGTAACCACCTTAATCTGATAAACCACACGGTCACTCACTGCACTGGTCATGCCCTTGGTTGTTACGCATGCCTCCTTGATAAATTTCTCGATTTTCAATTACGTCAGGTAAATCGACTCAGGGATCAATTCTCAACAATGATTTTCACAAGAAAATGTGTTCATCAATAACGAACATCGGAGCAATGGTTTCCATTTTTTATTGATTTTCTCGACGTTGCAGTGATTTTGACGAGCAAAGTGTATCTATATTTCTATCCGTCACGTTTTTCTTATCCATTGTTTCAAGTGGCGTTTATTGTTCAACCACATCACATGTCGAGTTGATCAAGCCACCTGATTCATCATGTGGTGTTGATCGAACGTAAGACTCTCACCCTCACATGTGCATACGCACGTGAGATGCGTGGCGCAACCATTTTTTTTTTTAGTTTATGGCAGACAATTTATTATTAAGATAATATATATTAAGCTAAGACAAACCAATTTTATCTATGAAAAAGTATTAAAAAAATAAAATGAAATAATACAATTTGTTAATTAAATACAACCGATTATTAGTAATTTTTTTTTTTTTGTTCTGGAGATACCCTAAGGGAAATTCGGATCTCACTAACGAAGTCAAATTTTTTCGGTTTTTAGTGGATGAAACATCCGGTAGCTTAATCGCATTGTAACTAATCGCATCAACCATCCAACAAAACCACTTTTCTTCCAACCATAGTACAAAATTAATTTTTAGTTAAAGATGGACCGGTCTTCTTAAACCACTCCACTACATTCAAGGAAAATAATCGATTAGCATAAACCCAAATGAATAATAATCAACAAGAAAGTTATCAAACGTAGAACTCATACACTTACTGTGGAAGCTTGAATTTTTGCCCATGCAACACTCTGTTTAACAAAGGATAAAAGGGTTTCAGTCTTTAAAAGAATTTGTTTGTTGAGACTCGATCGATCGGTTAAGCTCATGAACTTACTTTTTGTAATAAATATAAAAGAAATCACTATACAAGGCGGTCTGAACCGCTCCGGCGATCCACACGATCCAATCGACGTGATGCTCCACTTTGTACCTCCACAACCAATTCAATAAATAGAATGCACGGTATAATCCTAGAGCAAATAGATAGTGTGTGGTAATCGTTTCGGCTTCTCCCGTGCGGGACAACATGAACAATTGTGGGAGGATTGCAACGGCTTCGAGATAAACCGAAAATGCCCACGAAATCTTTAAATAATAATTGACGGTCGTTAGTGATTGAGTGAGACACCGGGAGAAAGAGAGTGTGTGTGTGTGTGTGCGTCGCACAGCTCACTTTACCTCCATGAAAGTAAAATCATAGTGAAATATCAACGCCAACAATATACATGGAATCAGTAAGAACTCTATCCTGAACGTCTCCAAATTTGGATCATACGTGGCTCTAAACTTCCTTTTCATCAAATACAGGACATAAAGTGAACTGGCAATAAAGAAAATCTTCATCACCGTGTTGTACAGAGAGACCCACGAGGTGAAGAGGTCAAGGTATCGGCTTAAGAAGACAAGGGCGTAGAGAAGTTGCGTCTTGAAGGAAATGCCTATGACGGAGAAAATAAAAATTTCACAATAAGTACGAACGCTCTGCTAACAAATTTCTTCGTCGATAAATCTTGACCAAAGAAAAAGGTCGTTCAAGTTGTCCAACAAAAATTACCGACGTCGGAAGTCGGATATGTTTTTTGAAAGTATCAACTCTGAAGTCTCCATACAAGATTTGATCGGACGCAACAACTTGGAAGGACAAACTGTGAACGCATACCTGCACACGATCGCGTTTTCTGGATTTTTATCAACAGGATAAAAATTGACGCCAAGTGTGTCATATCCGCAATCATTCGAAAAATATTCATCTTGTTTATCTGGTACCTGGAGGAAGGTGCTGTGTCAGCAACGTCAACGGGCAAGAGAAACTTTAAACGTTCATTTAAAAAAAAAAAAAAGTCGCCTTTTATTATTAAAAATTATTTATATTGTTCATCGCAATTTTTGATACGTGGTAATAATTTGATAATTTGCGCCAATGCGTCATGTGATTTCAAGGTTGAATTATAATAATCCAATATTGGCAATCGAAATAAAAATAATAGATAATCTGATAAAACTAATAGAAATTGATAATCGACGTGAAAATATATATATTATATATAATTGATCCAAATATTAGAAATATTAGGTGAGAACAAATTCTAATGTGTAAGAAAAATCACCACACAGATCACTGATCTATATATATAACTGAATTCCACTTTAATTCCTTTGATTTAAACATTTTTTTTTTGTTCTGGTCTGTACAAAACTCCCGTTGTCAAGTTGACGCTGATTCAATCCCAGCGACCCTTTTTTGGTGAGAATAAATTGCAGGATTAGAGCGTTGTATCAGCAATCAAAAAATTTATAATGATCCATCCATCCATCCAGATACTAATGAAAAAAAAAATGAACGTCACGACATCTACCAAAATCCTAACAATTATTACCCCCAAAATAGTACCTCGCCATAAAGTAGCAGAGCGTTAAACCTAAATCAAATTCTATATTGGTTTTTTGATAAGTCCTACCGGGAACAGAAATTCAGAATTCCTGTTTGCAATGAAAGTTAATCAATTGATCAGTAAAAAGGAATCTACTACATGTGAATGAAAATGCGGCGAAATTCTGCTCACCCAATCAGCGTCGACGACGTCCAACGCCCACTTGAATTTGTCTCGCAAACTCTTATTAAAGATTTTCTCCGTTGGCACTTTGTACTTTAGGCACCATGCAGCGGAGATCCGAGGATCTATATAGTTGATCTTTGATGTGCCTAAGGCGGTTGTCTTCATTTCATCCTTCTCAACAATCGCAAGCTTTGTTTCTTGGATGCGTCCGTCTAGTTTCTCGATTTGATGTTCCAATTTTTCGACCGTCTGATTTTTTTTGGGCTCAACTTTACCACTCTTACGTTCTTTCTCCAATTCCTTTTCTTTCTCGTCAACTTCCTGAAGCATTCGATCCAAATCTTTTTCGCTCAAAGGCTTCTTATTCTCTTCCTTTCGCGTTTCGTTATCCTTTTCGAATTTTTTACGAACTTTTTCCCGTTCCTTTTCCATCAACTGTTTTTCGTACTCGATGATCCAATCCTCTTCGAGGTCGGATTCTGGCTCACTAAGATCGGGGCGTTTCTTTTTCATACGCGAATCCAAGGCCAATATGGCTTTTTTTGCTTTCATCCTTTGATATTTTAGGGATCGTAGCTGCAAACATCACAATATTACTTATCGAACATCTGAACAAAGTAAAAGTGCGTGAGAAGGAAGAAAAGGATGTACCTTATCTGAGATTTTGTTCATTTGATTGTCGTGCGCTTTACTTACGGACCGTTGATGGTTACATAAAACGGCAACCTCGCGATTTGCACGATTATAGGATAGAATTTTTTCGGCTATCGTGGAATTAGGATCTGTACGTTTTTTTAGCTCATTTTGAAATGTGTAAGAAGCGTTATACGTGCGAAACACTTTAGCGGTAAGCCCTTTCATGTATTCAGACAGGTGTTTATTCAAATCTGTGGTCTATGAAAAAGGAGAGTGATGGGTTTGTTTTTTCCTTTTGAAATAGAAACTAACGTCGTGATACAGACAAGCATTGTATTTACTCACTGTAACTCTATCAAACAGAAAATCCTTCTTGGGATTTTTGCCTTTCATGAAAATCTTGAGGTTTTTAAAGACTGTTTCTTCAACTTCAACGGTATTTTGATATCTGATTGAGTCTTTACCCAAGAAGTCGAATGTGACCACATTTGGAGGCTTAAGCTTGATGTGTTCGACACGGAGGGAACAACACCCGACAGTGTCGGCTTCATGTTTAGTGTCTTTCTCGTTGCCAGCTCTGAGCGCCAATCGATCTATCAGATAAATCACTGTTGCCATCTGACGTTTTGCCGTAAGTTTTTCTTTAAGATCTCGGTTATAATCACCGCGAATCCTTGCAATATGATTCTATGCAAATGATCTGCGTTAGTGATGAAACAAAAAATTTTTTCTCTAGGCTGAAAATAAATAAAACTGAAATATTGACCTACCTTCAATTCTCGAGCTTTGTCAAACTTTAATAAATCGCTTTGACCCTTCAAAGAACTGTTCGCAGCCAAAAAGACGTATTTAATGTTTGAATTAATATTTTCTTTCCAGGTCGCTAGCCATGTCACGGTGTTGTCGTGGATGACCTCCTTCCATCGGTGACCCTTTGGTGGTTGCGGAACGGGTGCGTCTTTGCCAATATTGATGGTAACTTGTTCAGGCAAAACCCGTTGCTAGAGGGCAAAGGTAAATGAGACAAGAACGAACTCAATGTAAGCCTCGAGAAAAAATGATGGTTACCTTTAATTTTCCGCATTTTGGGTGTGCGCCTCGTCCTCTGAATAAACCTGGAGGTTCGATCCTGAAATTTCCTACTTTTTCTCGTCTTCCATCCAGAATGCAATATCCATACTTTTCCTCCAACTTTAACTTTTCCTCCTTCAACCGCGCTTTCTCCTCTTTCGTCTTATTCTTTTTTAATTCCTTTTCACGCTCAAAATGGTCAAAGATTGGCATGAAATCGCACTTGTTAAAGTCCTCGATTTTGGGATTCTTAAACAGACAAAAGCTAAAGGTATAAGTTGAATCTGTTAGGGTAGATAATGAATAAAGATATATCATATCAACAAACCTCCGGAGATTTCTTTAAAATTTCCTTCCAATCTTTAAAGAAATTTTTGATGAACGTTGGGTTTTTCCCGTAATCGGTATTGATCATGGCTGCATAAAAGCTGGCCACCTCTTCTGCCTCGGGTGTTAAAGTAATCTCTTTACCTATAATAATTAAGAAAATTTAGATGTATATTATCCTGATCACGTGATTAAATAAATATATATATATATATGCAAAATCGTAACTTACCATCATATTTCATCTTGACATTGTGCGGAACATAAGGCGGAGGGAAGTAGACACCATTGTGTTCTAATTTAGTCCACTTTACGCTGCCATCATCTTCAGCGTTCTGTTGTGACCACCATTTGTACTCATCATCCTCTTCCTCGTCATCTCGATCTTCATCGGCGTCCGACTTCGCCTTTTGCTTGCCCCGCTTTTTTTCAGACATTTTTTCATCTAGGGACTCGTACTCCTTTTTCTTCTTTCGTTCCGGTCCCGATTTCTTCGAGCCTATTGCACCCTTGGCAGAAGACTTGGATTTGGCAACTTGCTTTTTGTCATCAAATTCGGAATCGGAATCATTACGTTTGCGTTTAACTTGAGACTTATTATTCTGATCATTTAATTTTTTAAAAATGATAAAAATGGTGTAAGTAAAATCATATTTAAGGCATCGACCGTATTACATGCGATAACGTGATGCTCTATCAGAAATTCACCTTTACGGGAGCCCTGGTTTCTTGTGTTCCCGCCTCCGTTTTGACCGAAGGTGATTTGGCGGTAACCTTAGGAGAGAGCTGAGTTGACGTGGCCTTATTCTTATTAGCTAATCGTTTTGCCAACGGCACGTCACTATCAGAATCCTGAGATTCTTGCTTAACAACCACCGTCTTTTTTCCATTGGTTTTCCCCATCCTCTTAGCAACCGGGGTTTCTTCCTTGGATGATGTTTCAACATCTTCCTTTTTAATGATTTTTTCATTCGGCACCTTTTTAGGTGTGACCTTTTTGTTCGTTTTTTTGGGATCACTTTTTGATATAATGTTTCTATCGTCTCCTTCGGACTCAGAATCCATTCGCTTCCTCTTTACTTGCTTATTATCCACCTTTGAAATGAACATAGATTTTTGTTGTTAAAATTATTGTTCATGCTCACGTCAAGGGTAAATTGAAATTAAACTGATTTACCTTCTCTTCCTTAACCGGTGCATCCAATGATTTGCTTTTGCTCGGCTTACTGCTAGATCCCGTGGATTTCGCTACCTTTTGAGAAAGAGGTACGTCATCCTCGGATTCCTCAGATTCTGAAACCACGATACGTTTGGGCCTGCGCCTAAACTTTAACATTTGAGAGTCCGACTCCGAGGATTCTTCTTCAGCCTTTACACTTTTCTGCTTTGAGGAAGGACTTTCCCCATTAACAATGCCCTTTTGCTTTTGGTTGGATGCAACCATCCTTTTTGCCAACGGAACATCACTTTCGGATCCTGAAGGCGTAGCGTCTCCCATTGTGACGTCCTTTGGTACCTGTTTAATGACAGGTGGCTTCCTTCCGTTTTTCTCCTTTGAAGCGTATGTACTCTTTCCATTTGTACGAGTACCTTCAACGACCATTCCCTTTTTTTCGCTTGGTTTGCCCATATTTGTTTGGCTAAGCAATTTTATTCGATGTAAAAAAAAATTTTTTTTGCAGATATTCGATTGTTGTGTTCTGCCTAGAACTGTGTGTCAAGGAGACAGGAAAATGAAAAGGGTAACGTTCCGTCGATGTGCTTTTGAATTCCTGAAAGTCACCCTCGACTGTTCTACCCCGTTTGTTGTTTTTATATTGATTCGCCCCTGATGTTGATTGTTGAAAATTTGAAGTTAAAAACTATAAATCACAACATTGTCGTATAATTGGCCTGTCAACAACATAGGTAAATGTTGTGTAGCGTGCTGCGTTAAAAAAAAAAAGTAATCTTGACATGGATCACAATGATTAATTGATTAATGATTGGATGCTTTGCTTGTACATTGCACCACATCACCATCTATTTTTGCCATGCCACAATCTCACAATGAAAGTGTCGGAATGGTGGCGGGGACTCGGAGTTGTATGTAGAAGTTACGTATGATTCACAATCATCATTCTTTCTTGGATACCATTTTTGAAATAAGACCTTAAAATTTCCTTACACTTTCTGCTGATACAAAAATATTATTTGGAAATGATCGCTAAAATCGACAATAGCAACGGTAATGAATTTCTTATCACATTACAAGATTATGACCGGAATTTGCTTTGTGAAAGCTGAAAGGCGAAATAATGTACTTGACAACATATGGACAAATTATTAACAAAACCAATTTCCTTTTTGCTTTTTTTTTCTGATAGATTATTTTGACTTTTTTGGTAATAACTTGTAAACCAATTTTTCTTTTTTAATAAAAAGAAAAGTTCATTTTTGAATTAGTCTTTAAAAAAAATTTTTATATTGTATATTGAATGATATAAACTTAATTATGTATAAGAATATTCAAAATCTCTGGATACTATTTTCAAAATAAAAAAATTCATTTTTCTTAAACTTTTTCCTGTATAAATAAAATTTTTAAATTTATAATTCACTATCTAGTATTATAAATACTTAATACTTATTTTAAATTGGATTTTATTATTATTTATTATTTGTTTTTTTTATAATACAATAAAATTATTATTAACATTAAATAATTTATAAATTCATAATATTAAAATTATTCTATTGCTCTTATAATTTGATTATTTACTTATGTAATTATTTTATTATACAAAAAATAAATTTATTAAGCTACTATTATATAATATTAATTATAGAAATAAAAAAATAGATAATTATTTTTAAAGGTAACAAAAATGCTAAATATGATTTTCTTGAATTCAACTTTTAAATAATATATATATAATATAAATTTTAAAATTATGCTAGAAAAATTCTAGTTTGTTTTTAAAAATAATTATCCAAATAATATATAAAAGTATTTTATACTTTAATTTAAAAAATTATTATTATTAATTAAAAAACAAAAAAAAAAACACTGCTTACTAGCAAATATATAAACAAATCACATGCCAAATACTTTGAACAAGATGTTCTATAGCATAAATATATATGATAATTTTATTCAACTGGATATAAAAACAATACAAAAACAAGCCAAAATCATAGAATACCTACTTATACTAAAGGATAACCATTATATTGATAATATACTATGGTTTCAAAAAATGATTCACAATTGTCTCCACAAAATTAAACCTGAAAAAATCAACTTGAAAATCTCATTTCAATACTATCATATTTAATACTATCACTGCAAAAATAATGAATATCGATCTTAGACAAATTATCAAAGCTAATATTATTTACAAATATATAAAAAACCTTTGGGGTGAAAACAAATTATATATGTTTATTCTTGACATGCATATTATTAAAAATCTATTGAACAGATTTACTATTTCTTCAATTCTCAAGCCAAGCAAATATAATTCTTATAGTAGTTGCTTAGAATCTGCAATATTTACAGTGTGAGTCATAAATTTTTAGAATTGGTTTTTTTAATATAATTTTTTTAATAACTATTTAAATATTATGAAAA